GTAAGAATATGTATTTCAGAGAATTGAATTGCCTAATAATTGTTTTATTGGGTTTTATAATTAGGAATAACCCACTTGTACAATCATTAGATGATTGTACACCAAGCACATCTCACAAACAAAACACTTTTATAATACAACTATTGTCAATGTGAAACAACTACAATAGATTTGCTATTAAATTATGGTTAATAAACATAATTGAAAATCTCAGATGACTCAAATCTTGTCATTATTACTTAAATACAATGAATTTTTTAGTTAAATAATGGTCTATGTATGTAACATATAATGATTTTACATATAATTGTTGTACTATATAATATACGATAAAGAGTTTTTAGAAAAAAATTGTTGACATTTGATCATAAACACAACGATTTTGCTTAAAAAGCGTTCTAGTACAAAGCCAAACAGCCAAAGTGCGATACACTATTTATCAAAAATAACATGTTTTGACATTAAAAACCACGAGATTGATGGTTATTCAATTGATTCTTACACAATTAACTTCCAATATGTAGGTGACATATACCCACTAATTTATGGTTATTCAATATGTTATCACACTACTTTCTAATATTTCTTCCTTGCCTTTTATGCCCTATTTGGCGGGGGATTATAATCAGATTTTTAACAGATTTTAATAAAAGTTAATGAATTGTATGGTTGAAAAGTTGTGGTTCCTATAAATATGTGGTCAAAATTAATGACTAACTTTGACTTAGATTAAAATCTAAATTTTAATTTCTAACAAATATGGGCTATATTTTGACATTAAGTCGCCCAACCGTATCGTGTACATCCTTTTTTGTTTGCACTGATGCATGCTTGCTTCTTGATAAATCACGGCAATGCATGTAATCTGTGCACAGAAAAACTACATTCTTTTGAGCTCTCTTTGACAAACGTACTTCTCAAACTCTTTTTTTCTCTATACTCATATTCAATTCCACATTTACACAATAAAATATTCTACACGTAAACCTAAAAAAAAAATTTTACTTTTTAACCACTTATGGGCCTGTTTGAGAGTTTTTTTTTTAGTGATTTTGACCAATTTTGGATGGCACATTTAAGAGAATTGAAAAATCGGTATTTGCTAGTTTTTTTTTTTTTTTTTGCCTCCGGTTTTGGAGGTTTAAAAACTATCCAAAATCAGTGTAGTATAATTTTGACCAATCCTCCTAACCTACCAAATCGGCGAATTTTGATGGTTCTCATATTTTCTTCTAATTTTTCCCTCTATAAAATAAGTATTTTCAATTAACATATTTTTTAAAAAAACTAACTGGTAAATAAAAATATATTAACTAAAAAATTATTTATAAGCAAGTACATTATAATTAAAAAATACTTATAAGTAAAATACTACTTATAAGATAAGAAAAAATATATTATAATTAAAAAATTACTTATAAGTAAAAAATCATTTTTATGTAAAATATTTGTTTATAAAATAAAAATGCTACTAATAAGACGAAAATTCACTTATAAAATATAAAAAAAAGTTACTTATAAATTAAAAAAATCACTTAAAATTATAAAGTACAAAATTTACTTATAAGTAAAAAATATTAACTTAAAATTTTAAGAAAATATTTAACTTCATTTAAAATTTTAAGTTAAATATTAACTTATATTTAAAAAAAATCACATATAAGTAAAATATCACTTATGAGTAAAAAAATTTCATATAAGAAACTATAAACCGAAAAATTTGCGAAGGTTGTTCTGTTAAAAAACTTTCAGAATCAGTGGATAATAAACTAAGCATGAGTCGGACAATTTTAAAAATCACTACTAAAATCACTCAAAACCAATCTGTTCATAAACATTCAAAAC